CCAGTTTCTGTTCTAGGTGCCAGTGACACAGTAGTAACAAGAACAGACAAAAGTCCCTACTTTCATGAAGCTTAAATTTTTGTTGAGGGAGATAGATAGACAAAGAAATAAACAATTAAATACATGGACTGTCCAGTGGTGATACATTCTATGAAGAAAAATACAGCAGGAACAGGGGATAGAGAGTACTGGGATGGGGAAGGGGAAACTTTTAAAATATCAGGATCAGGAAAGACCCCATGGTAAAATAACACTTAAGAAAAAAAAAAAAACTGAAAGAAGGGAGAGAACAAATCATGAGGATATCTGGGAGAAGGGCATTCCAGCAGAGTGAACAGTACGTGCAAAGGCCCTGGGGTAGGAGGATGCTTGTCACATTTGTGAAATAGTAAGGAGGCCAAGGTGGCTGGAATGATCAGAGGGTAAAGTGGTAGAAGATAACGTCAGAGAGATAATGGCAGGTGGAGGCTATCAGGGGATTTTGCTTTTAACTCTGAATGACTAGAAAACAAGACTTGGTCTGATTTACATATACTATAAAATGATCATTTGGCTGCTGTGCTGAACAAAGAAGAATAGTGAATTTCTGGTAGACAGGTGACACCCATAGGTCCATGTTTCTTGACTGGATATATCTAATGCAATAAAAGGCACTGGAGACTGAGACTCTACACCAATCCCAAAAGCTAAGACTAATGAATACAACAGTGCCGGAAGCTAGAGAGAAATGCCACTGACAAATGGAGCAGGATTGAGAAAAGCCTCATGAAACACAGAATGTTTCCTACTCCTCTATTACCTGGGCAGTTGACCTTCTTTCTATTCCCTAATGCCACTTTCTGAGAAAGCCAGAGTACCTTTGCATCAACTACCCCACCTGCCACTTCTAGCCAAGACATCAACCCTTGAAATCATGGTGGAGGAGATGGCCTTCTGGGAGATGTGGTACTCACGAGTTACGTTATAAAGATGGCAGATGGAGACAGGAATTCTGTAGGGAATGGCAAGGATTGTGATATCTGTGTATTCTATCAACCCACAGATTACAGACTTGGTGGCAGATGTTGGAAAGCATCCGGTATTGTAGAGCTAGCATGAGATGAAAGTCCCTGGGATGTGGAGCTGAGCTGGGAGAACCCACCAGCAGGTCAGCAACAGAATATCTAGCCATGACCCCTGTGACAGGGAACAGACTTAACGAAACTTGCCTATTTATCGGCACCCAGTCTGTATAGATCCGGCTTCATTTAGGTGTAGGGAAGGGAAAAGGATCCGTTTGACATCTATGACAAAATACTGAATGAAATGTATAATAAGAAATATTTGAGCACTTTGTGGATTCCATTACAAATTGTGTCCTTGAAAAAATGTATACAAAGTTAATCACTGAATTTCCACAGATAAACACAATATAATCATCACAGCACAGACATCATCAAATAGATTAGCTTTTCACAAGTATTCTTTACAAATGCTATCACAAAGGAAAAACTAAACAGCAAATTTGATCTTCTTTTCATTAATTTAGAGTATCCAAGTATTATAAACTACTAAGGACTATATTAGATATTTCCTGAAGTACTAAGTTATCACTTAACATATTGACCACACTGTTCTGTGAAAGAAACAAAAGTATACCTAAGTGTCTACCTGAGCTTTACAAAATGCTTTAAAATTCCAAGAAGATGCCTCAGTCGTTATAACGCAAGTCAGACACGGACAATGCCACAGTAAGGTAGAAGCCTAGACACACAAAGCGACTCAGTGGATGAAACTTCGGTACTTCAATTGTTTCAATCAATAGGAATTATGAAAATGTTAACTTTTAGTAACACATATTTTTAATAGTAAGCATAAGTGAAGTTAGAATTTTATTTTTTAACTTTTGATGACTTTTTAAATTTAATTTTTAAGAAAAAGCTTTTGTTCTTTGAGCTTTACAGTCCTTACAAATACCTAACTCATGAGTCAAAAACAACTAATTCAGGGCAAGAAATAGCTACCTTTTAGGAGGAATAATGACAGAGGTATATAAAAGAAATGATAAAAGTAAATAAATTAATAATTAATAATTTAATAATTAAAAGGAATAATGATAAAGATAGCTTCACATCCATGTTACTTTTAGACAGTAGTCTAAAATCTTAAAAAAGTATATACCTCAAAGGAAAAAATGTTATGCATAGTTTCTTATTAAGAAAAAAAAAAGAACCATTCTGATTCTTTCTATGTAAATTATCTCATCTTCAACCAAACACTTCTAAAATGCCTTTTCTTTAATAAGCCATTTTTTATACTTTTTAGGTATATTTAACATGAAGATTTAAACAGATATAAAGACAAAAAGGATAACGGAAATAGAATGTTGTATTCATTTAAAAGATTCATAAGCAGAGATAGCAGAGGTCTTCTGATCAAACTGCCTGGCACCCTGTAAAAGGTACACAAATCATACGTCTTGATTTCCTTTTAGGAAAATAGCAGTTACCATTTAATCTTTGGCTTTTCAGTTAGAATGGAAATTTCAAAAAAAAAAAGAAAGGAGAATGCTGATCGCAGTGTCATTCAAATGTCTCTGTCGAAACACTGAGGTAATTGAGTTATCGCTTAGATTTCCCTATAGGATATTCTAACTGGCATAGAAGCATTTCCTTAATTTGTTGTAGTCAACAAGGACAATGCGATTCTTCCCGTTGCGTTTGTTGTTTTATTGCTTGACAACAAATTGTATTTGCTGTCTTATTACCTCAGAGTAAAAATACATAACTGATTACTCATAATCTGTTACAAAACTGGCTTTGGGAAAATGAAGGATTATTAAACCATTATAGAAACCTTATTGGTTAATCAAGTTTATAATCTTTGTGTCCCCCAGGTCCCTTTTCTTTCTCACAAGGAGAACCCCATGTTGACTGGTTTATCTACTCTTCCCCTTTGAAACCTGAGTGACTGGGGCAAAGCTGACCCTACCCCTAGCTCATGGGATGAGATAACAGTAACCAAACATAAAATAATAGGAACGAAGAAAGGACCACCATCTCTTTGGCCAGAGATTGGTTTCATTGTCCAGGGTTAAGCTCCTCAGGATTTGTTAGCCTCTTCAGCTAAATTAGCCAGATCAGTCCAGAGGAGCTTTTATTCCATGGCGATGGGAGAGGTCCTCTCTCTGGTCTTTCTCTGATTCTCTGTCTTTCCATTTTTGTGCAAGGTAAGAACACGAAAGCAAGTCACCCCAGTTACTCATGTAACTCATGTCAAGAAGGAAGTGCTCATGTCAAGAAGGAAGCAGGTCTGAGTACAGAGCTAACATATCAGAAAGGGCCTGACCCTCCCCTGACTGGGCCCTCCCAACCTTCCGTATCTTGTTACAAGAGTTGAAACACTTCTTTCCGGTTAAAGCCAATTCTGTTTGGAGTTTCTGCAGCTTGCAGCACAAAACATCCTAACTCATTCACAGAGCCTGTATTGAGGAATTGGAATATTCCATATAGACAGATGAATTTTTTTAAAGTTTTATTTCCTTAAGTTTTTTCAGGATTGTCATCTATCCACGTTAAGTCTGTTCAGGCTTCTAAACAGCTTCTGTCTCAGACATTCAGCTCTGAGATCAAAGTTAGAGTCTGAAAGTCAGCGGAGGGAACACTACCAGTCATTAGAAGTCAGCCATATCAAAAGTACACATATAGTTTTGTTCTCTATGTCTGTGAGTCTGTTCCTGTGCTGTATACAGATTCACTTGCATTACTTTTTAGATTCTACATATAAGTCATATCTTATAGTATTGTCTTTCTCTGTCTGACTTACCAAGCATAAGAGGGAGGGGGAGGGACAAATTAGGAGGATGTGATTAACAGATAAAAATTACTATCCATAAAATAGATAAGCAGCAGGGATTTACTACAAAACACAGAGAATTATATTCGTTATCTTATAATAACCTACACTGGAATGTAATATGCAAAAAAAACCTAAAAACAAAAAACAGAACACTTTGCTGTATTCCTGAAACTAGCGCAATATTGTAAATCAATTATACGTCAATTAAAAAAAACTGAAAAAAATACATATACACCACTTCTCCTTCCAAATAAAAGACAAAAAAGAGTTTTAGTTTAAAATACTATCTTGGGCTTCCCTGGTGGCGCAGTGGTTGAGAATCTGCCTGCTAATGCAGGGGACACGGGTTCGAGCCCTGGTCCTGGGAGGATCCCACATGCCACGGAGCAACTAGGCCCGTGAGCCACAACTACTGAGCCTGAGCGTCTGGAGCCTGTGCTCTGCAACAAGAGAGGCCGTGATAGTGAGAGGCCCGCGCCCCGTGATGAAAAGTGGCCCCCGCTTGGCGCAACTAGAGAAAGCCCTTGCACAGAAACGAAGACCCAACACAGCAAAGATAAATAAATTAATACACTCCTACCCCCAACATCTTCTTTAAAAAAAAAAAAAATACTATCTAGTCCATATCATAAAAATAATACAAAGAGCAACAATGATGGCATCAATAAGTGCTCACTATGCTATGAATTTTATGTGTATTATCTTTCTTAAAAGCGATATTAGGAAAAAGAGGCCCAGAACCAGGTTAATAACTTGCCCAAAGTCACGAATCTAGTAAGCTCAATATTTGAAATTCAACCACACTTTTTTTAAGAGACCCAAGGCCTACTACATCTTCTTTCAAAGTTATTGGTAACGGAAGTACTGATTACCATGTGCCGGGCATGCTCATGGCGCCTGTGATCTACGCACCCCTCCTCCACACTCTGGTCTGCCAGGTAGGAAGGCTGGGAGGCGGGAACTGCAGGTAGGAGGAGTTACAACAGTCACAGCGCCCCGGTCCCAGCTCTCCCTTCTCACAGGCCTTTGTTCTCCTACCTGAGCTGGTCCAAGTACATTTTCTGGCTCTCTCAGCCCAAAAGACCTTGATCACAAGTCATCAGGAGCCCTGGCAGGCCACGTTCCTGTAGGAACTTGAGGTTTGAACAAATGAGGCTACCTACCTTGGGCATGTAGACCACCAGATGCCCTGTTGTCTGAGCTCTTTTAGCAGAGCTGCTATCAGGTTTGACTTCTGCAGGAAGGACAAGCTGAAATGGCTGAAAGCAAACAGGAGGTGTGGAGAGTGAGTGCGTATTACACGAGGGGGTTCCTTTAAGAGGTGTTTTCATTACAGATTTAAGATTCACCACTTATTTAAAAAATCTGCTTAGGCTTATTAGGAAAAAAATAAAATAGGGGCAATGCTTGATATGCATGAACGATTTTACGAATTTTAATTAATTGTCTGAGGAACAGTTAGTCACAGATCGTGACTGGTCCATTTATGAGAACATGGCTGATAAAGGATTTATAGATAAAACTTCTTGTCATAAAACATCAACACATTTCCATTTTAATGTCTTCAAGCTAACTGATATGAAAGCTCAGAATCAGCAAAAACTACTATTTCAAAAGCGATAAAGTTACAGTTGCTGTGAATGTAATCACTGACAATTTTAAATGGGTACATTATTTAAGTGGGTGTATTATTTTAAATATAACTTCAAGCATAGGCTACCCATACATGACCATCTTATCAGCTCTGAAAAAAGTACTAACAAAACAAACACAGGTTAAAAATACAAATTTTATCATACCACTCCCGTCATTTAAAATCGTGTGTCTAAAAAAACAGCACCCTGACTGGGTTTCTCTTTTTCTCTTTTAAAATCACTTAAATCTGTTTTGAGGCAAGCTAGTTTGATTCAAGGCTGAGCTTCTGAAATGGGAACAGCCCATAGGGTTACACTTACCTTTCCCTTGACCATCACTCGCACATAAGTTGGTTGTACATCAACATCGATTAAAGAGGTGTCCATATACCTTCAAAATTCAACAACCGAGTGTTATAATTTTCAAAACCATTTAAAGAAGTGTAAATACAAAGTCCCACTTAAGGGACCATTTTAAGTGAAGAAAGTTTACAATTTCCATGCTAAGCAGGTCTTAGAATATTCATCTTAAATTCATGCCCAGACCGCCGGAAATTCAACATATCAGCAATTTCGTTTTTAGACCCACAGTACACTTGGCATTGATTGCCCCTTACCCCAAAATATCTGTGGCCTGAAACACCAGAGGTTTGCAGAGAACGGCTTGCCATGCTCCTTCATGAATATTTTATTTTAAGCCCCTAAGGCTGACTTGAATAGCCAGGAATGCTGAATCCACTAAGCTCCTGCGTCCTTAGGGCTCTCGATTCCCTGCAGCTGTTCTGCAGCTGCCCCATCCTACCTCTCCCGGAAGACTGGCTCCGCAAGCCCATCCTGCCCAGCAAGCCCAGCCCTCTCCCTCTATGGCAGTGACCTCAGGATTGGGGGCAATTGTTCTCTTACACCTCGCGAGCAGAGGAAAGGTTTAGATTCCACACCACTCGTTAAAATAAGAAGTTTGGCCAAACGATTATTTTTATACGTGTTAAAATATTTGAAAATGCAGCGATGATTCAAAAATCACAAACATCATGGCAGGTAGGACGATACAGGGGTGACAGGCTCAGGTTTTAGCCACAGAGGCTTGTGAGGACTGACTCCACCTTCCCCTTCCTGCTTTATTACCCTGGACCACATTCCTTAACCTTTCTAAGCCTCTGTCTCCTCACCTGTAAAATGAGGATACAAATAGTGCCTATCCCCTAAGATTGCTAAGAAGACACGTGCACCATGCCTAGTACATAGTTAGTGGTAATAAAGCATTGTTACAATTAATGAAAAATTAAAATAATAAAAAGTAGAGTCAGGTTTTCCTACAACTTCATGTTTATTATCTACCACTTTAACTATGGATTACAGATTCTTTTTCGCGCTTAGGGCCGCCTAAAGTTCCTCTGCCCCGACCTACAAGGGTTTTGCATGTGCTGCTCTCCTCTGCCTACAATAATCCTCTACCATCCTTTGTAGAGCTCGCTACACCTTATCCTTCAATTTTCAGTGCTCACGTCCCTGGCTTTCCCTTTCTCTCCAGCCATCCCCTACACCGCCAACCACCAGACTACACGCACCATTGTTCTCCATCCCTGAACTCTGTCCTTTTCCTGTACGGCACTCTTCTCCCTTTGTAATTACCTATTAGATGCCTGCCTATGTATTGTCTGCCATCCCCACTGGGCCGTAAACCCAGGAGAGCAGGGACTGTATTCAGAACAGGCTGGTTACAGTCTCCCAGTGCGTGGCATGTAGTAGGCATTCTACAGCTACTGGAAGGAATAGAAGCAGGAAGCATACATGAATGAATGAACTTTCATGCATACATCCATGTGCCAATGAAGATAACAAGGAATTTTAGTGTAATAGTTTGGACAGAATCATGTGAATGGAAGGATTTTTCTACTTAGACAGGAGAAATATCACTAGTTCTTGAAAAGGTACATGCACGGGGAAATGAGGAAAGTTTTCATCTGAGGATTAATGTTAAGTAGCTAATCGAGCTAAAAGGAGAAAGAGGTACACATTCACTGAACTCCAGGAATAAGGCCTAAAAATGGAAAGGACTTAAAAGGATGAAAAAGGGAATGTTTAACTGAAAAACAGCAGAAAGGGAAGCTCAGGGAGTTGGAGCAACAGAGAACATGCAGTCAGCTGGAGGAGGGCTGGAATGGAAGGCAGCGCTTCTTAAAGGCAGGTGACCTGGCAGCAAGTGGGCAGAAGGGCTGTTGGAGGCGCGGGAGACACAGCTGAGTGTGATGAGGGAGGGCTGCACCGAGAGCCGGCCCCCATTCACGCCGGCCAAAGATGGACACACCCCAAGTGCCCGTCAGTGGGTAAACGGATAAACAAAAAGGTGGTCTCTCCATTCAATGGAATATTATTCAGCCATGAATATGCTACAACATGGATGAACCCGGAAGACATTATACTGAGTGAAAGAAACCAGACACAAAGGCCAGATGTGATTCATTTATATGAAATACCCAGAATGGGCAAACTATGGAGACAGAAAGCAGATGAGTGGTTGCCAGGGGAAGGGGGGAAATGAAGAGTGCCTGCTTACGGGGTACGGGGTTTCCTTATGCGTGAGAAAATTTCCTGGAAGTAGATAGTGGTAATGGGGTCACAACATTGTGAATTTACTGAATGCCACTGAGTTGTACAATTGAAAGGGTTGAAATGGTGAATTTTAAGTTATGTGTATTTTATCACAATTAAAGAAACAAAGTTGGACCTAAGACTGAGGGTTCACATTGTGGCTTCTCCAATTACCATGTTTACTTTCACAAGACTCAGCCCCCTTGGGTAATCCCAGGATAACAATCTCTCCCATGCCACTGGGTTACTGAGAAGTTAAATGAGATAGAGCATGTAATAAAATCCCAAAAATAGAAATGCCTTTATTACAACTCATGAATGTAAATGTTCATTGATTCCATCGTCAAAATCATTCATTCATTCATCCATTTACTCCTGTACTTACTGAGCTCCTAACAGGTGTCAGGCACTGTTTTAGGTGTTAGAGACATAAAGAGGTAGGAACAAAAAAAAAAAAGTTTCTGCCTCAACTACACATTTTTCAAAATACAGGTAAATTGAGAGTTTGTCAGGTAGAAATAAAAAAGCAGGGAGAGGTGGAAGGACGTGCTGAGGCAGGGGTGGTACTGGTCTATACTGGATGGTGAGGCAGAGAGGCCTCTATAATAAAGTGACATCTGAAGAGAGGCCTGAAGGGCATGAGGACACCTAGGGTGAGAGTGATACAGGCAGAGGGAGGCACAAGGACAAAAGTACTGGGGCATCGGTGGGTCTGAAAGGGCTGGAGAAGCAGAAGGGTCCTGAACGTGGATCCTGAAATCATCAGCAGGACAGAGGAAGTGAGCCAGGACCTGGAATCTTCAAGGAGGGAGGCAGATGGCCCGGGTGTCTTTAAATGGCTTCAACAAGGAAGCGTGGAAGGTGACACAGGCTGATGGTGTGAATGTCACAGCTGTGGACAGTTGTGGGTTGGGGAAGAGCAGCTGTCAGGATGCGGGGATGAGGGGTAAGCAAGCAGGGAGTGCGGGGGTGAAACCAGTCAGGATATAGGACGTGGCCTGGGAAGAGGTGGCAGCCAGTGCTGAAGAGGCCGCTGTTCATGTTTAAGAACTCAAGGGGCTGTGACTGAGAATGAAAATAGCAAGAAATGCCATGAAATAAATGCATAATAAAAGGTCTTTACCTATATACAGCCAGGTCCAGGACGATCTGGTTACGCTTTTCATCATCTCTCAAAGAGAAGTCAAGTCTAAGGAATAATCCATTTGGGGCGGGGGGGGAAAAGAGGATGTTTTTAGCGATACTTTATAGATAACCCCATCCCAGTATCAAAAGAAAACTTGATAAAAACTATGTCATAATCTTCAACGACAAACTTATTTTGGTAGCTGGTCAATAAAATCTGTTAGTTTAAAAATTTCAACAGAAACCTACAACATATTCATAAATTATTCCTGTTTACATTGTTTCAATAAGAGAATCCTGAACTACATAAAAAAAAAAAAAATTAGCATCGGTGCAGAGACAGAGACACCTGGTGGTTAAAGTTTTCTTTTCCATTTCATTGGGGTTTGCAAGAAGCAAACTAAAACACGGAATTATTGATGGGGAATTACATGTTGCATTTGCTTGCCCTTATCCAGCATTCCATTCCTTAAGTTTTAAGCAGTCTTGTCTTTTTTCTTCTCCTTTCATTGGTGACCTTTCCCTAGCCCCCGGAAGTGCTGAGATGCTGCCCATGACCTATCACTTCCATTTTATAGAAGAAGAAACAGGCTCAGAGAGGCTGACGTAGCTGGGAAAGAGGTCATGTGAGCCTTGGAGGCAGGATTTCAAATCTCAACTGTAGCCTGAGATTGAGTCCTAGGTATAACTTCCATACTGTCGATGTACTGTTCAGAATTACTTGGTTAATTTTATTTTGAATGTTTCACTTATCATATCACTCTGCAAAGTACAACACCCCAACAATATTAAAGAATGTAGGCTAGACTGTTTGGAGAAACGTAACATTGTCCCGCAGGTGTGGCTGCCAGCAGGATGTCTGCTTGTGGCGGTCACTCTCACATGCTTCCAACACTCCTGCCGGGCGGGGCCTCTTCAGGTGCTCAAGTGACCCCTGCATTCTTGATCTCATCTCGGGGCTTTTCTATATGCTTTCTCCTCTGCCTTGATTGCTTATTCCCCCATGTTCCAGCCATCAGCTTAAACTCTCCCTTCATATATCTCCTGAAAGGTAATTTCAGGGAGGTTTTCTATGGCAGAGACTGTCTGCCATTCCCCACTGTCTGCTCCCCCTTTATCCATAGTAACAGGGTCCCTGATTTTAATGAGGAATATGGCTCTGCAGGGTAAAGACCACATTCCCCAGCCTCCCTGGCAGCTAGATGAGATCATGTGATTTAATTCCGTAAAGAAAATGTGGCTTGGTGCTTTCCAGGAATTTTCCTTAAGAGAGGGGGTGTGTGCCACTTAACAGGCTATTGCAACCGTCCAGGCAAGAGGAGGCTGACTTCCTCTAAGGTGGTGGCAATGGAGTGAATGAGAAGGGGTGGGATTCTGGTAATTCTGAAGGAAGAGCTCACTGATAACAGGAGGGAGAGAAGAATTGAGGATGAATCCGAGGTTTCGGTCTTGATACCCAGTGGATGCTCACTCCTGAGCTGGAGGACCTCTGAGGGCCTGACGGTACGTGGTTGTGGGGATAGAAGTGAGGATGTCTGCTTTAGCCACGATAAGCCTACGACACATAGTTTATATCCACACAGGAGAGCAGATAGCTAGGCGCATATACAAGTCTTGAGCTCAGGGAAGAGGTTGGGTCTGGTTGTAAGTAACGGAAGGATAGTGTTGAAATCATGGGATTTGGTGAGATCTCGAAAGAGTGAATGTGGAAAGAGAAGATAGCTGAGGAGTTTGCCCCAGAGCACTCAGGAGACAAGACGGAAAGGATCCAGCAAAGCAGAAGATGAGAAGGTAGTAGGGTCAAAGAATCAGAAGCAAAGGGAAGAACCTGTTTGGAGAAGGAAAGTATGATCAATCTGGGCAAATCTGTTAGGTTAAGTAGATGGCCGAGATTTGAAAAGATGTGACTGAATATAGAAATGATGTGAACATGGAACATAAAAACGATGGGACTGCAGAAGCTTCTGTGGTCTCACTAGGGGCACGCAGAGCCCAGAGGGTCTCCCACAAGCCCTGCTGTAGCCTGAAGAGAGACAGTCTCCCCACTAGATTTTTAAGTTCCTTGAAGGCAGAAATCTGTCATATTCACTTCTGTATCCCCAGGGATTAGCATCATGTGTTGTGCTGCATTCATGACTTCTGGATAAAGAAGGTGTGTGTGTGTGTGTGTGTGTGTGTGTGTGTGGTGGGGTGAGGTGGGGGTGAGATTATGAACTTGATCATGGAAACCACTAGAAATGGGCTAGCATGGGCAAGTCAGACACACCACCTATTACCTACGTGGCCTTGGGCAAGTCATTCACCTCTCAGTTCAAGTTTTTGACCTGTGAAGAAGAAATACTGCCTACCACACAAGACTGCTGTGAAGGTGACGTGAATGACGCCTAGGAGTGATTTAGGACAGCACCTCTTCTATTGTGGTAACAGCACAGCAAACGAAATGATCAAAGTAAACAGGTTCTGAGCAATGAAGCCAACAAGATCGAGTTCGTAGGCTTTTTGGTCTGTACTTTGACTAGAAAAGGCCTTTTCCGCCTGCTTTCTAGTTTAGAAATTTAAAAACAGCTATAGATACTACTATACATGAGGATCTCCAGTTGGAATATTTTTTCTCTCTCATCAACTCCATTGAGGTATTTATATCAATTTCTTTCCTTAGCTCTCAAATGCTTTGCAGATGCGTTCCAGAGTATAAAGTAGGTGTATAGGAGATTTATCAGTATCCTCAGCCAGCTTGTTCATGGCAGAGTTTTAAAAATTAAGAAACACAACAATAATGCACTTGGAATTTTCAGGCATAAAACTGTACATGGTTCAAAGTTTCAGGAGACACAGAAATAACTAAGATTTCCATACGTCAAGGTCACGTTTTGGATGCCAAGAAAATGAAATACAACATTACACACTTGAAAGCATAATGATGTTCTGCTTTCAAATACACACAAAATGACATTCTTATTAGGCTCATCAAGTTTGTTAAGAGTGGTCAGATATATTCTCTGCAGAGCAAACGTGTCATTGAAACCATCGTATGACCAACACCACACATTCTGCTTCTTCAAGTCTCCACTCGGCCTCACTTACTTGGGCTCATTTACATTCAGGGCTCTCCCATTCTCAGAGATCAGCACCCTGGGTGGTTTCACTTTCTTCTTTTTTTCACTTAATATTAGGGATAGGTGGGAACAAGGGGCGGGAGAGAGAAAAAAATAAACAAAGATAATATAAAAGCAATTAATGTGTGAAACAGTTTAAGAAAAATTAATCAGGTATTTGTGAATACATCAGCAATTCACTGTGATGAAGTCCATTGATGGGAACTGACAATCGAGCCAAATTTCTGTGTGATTATACCTATATCTGTAAAGCGAAAATGTGACCAAGACAATTTGCCAGATAATTCGAATGGGGGAGAAAACTCCTTTTCACGAGATAGCCACGAATATTTAAATGAGTCTATTTTATGCATGATTTACTCAGCTAACTGTTAATTCCCCATTTGTGTATACATCTACTTTAGTTAAAATTACAGTTTTTAAAATGCCAAATAGAATCTATGTTATAGAAATAAAAATACCAGGACGTAGGATCGACATAAAAGGATGTCTATCACAGCATTACCTACAGTGGCAAAACCTTGGAACCATCAAGAATGTCCATCAATGGAGGAATGGTTGGATTGACTGTGGTGCCTTCATGCTATGAAATATTTTACAGCTATTGGAAAATGTGTTCACTCTTTACCTACTCGTCTAGAAAGTTATAGACAAGTGTTGATGATGATTTAGTGAGAACAAATACATAAAATCTAAGTCCACTTTTGTTTTTAAGAAAAGACCGTCAATCCTACGTTTGCATTTATATGACTGTAGCATGTGGAGGAAGTTCTGGTAGGATGGACCCAAGCCTGCTAACTCTTATTACCACGAAGGGGCAGAGATAGGAGGAAAACAAATGGAGCAAAGAGGAAAGATTCATGGAATAACATGAAAGAAAATGTAGAACATAAATTCTGTTTACTTAAACACCTACTGAAAATACATAAAAACTTTAAAAAGGCATATATGGACAAGCTCTAGAAGATCAGACGGACAAATCTGTTTAGATGACAGAACTGCAGGCAATTCTTCATCTTGGATTTCTGTTGTTCTTTTAATACAGATTTTATGTCATTTAGCTTTATTTTATAATGTAAATTTATTCACATTTTTCTGGATCTTAAACATGAACTGTAGTTCATGTTTCCATGAACTACATTATTCTCCATGACACAGGACAATTAGAGGGCATTCAGAAGAGGAAAACATCTCAGGAACCCATTAGATCGTGCAGACTACAGCACACTGAACAGAATGACTTGGATAACTAGTATCTGTAAACCAGGCCAGGCTCTTATTTGACACATTTAAAGTTGTTAAAAAGCTAAGGTCATAGAAACAAAACCCTACCTAAAATGCCAAGATTCATGACATCCTAAAGAAGGGTTAGTAGATAACACTTCAACAAAAAGCTGAAATCAGAAAAAGCAGAGTTTGTGTGTGATAGCTAACACAGATTTAACACAGATAATGGGTAAAACAAGGTACAATCATGAAAATATACTCCATCACTCTGAATGACAGGATAAAATGGAATACCTTAATTTTTCTTGGTCTTTCCGTTGTTTTTCCATATGTCTCAGAGTTTCCAATCTAGATTCGGGGGTATACAAAGAGGGCTTATTCCAGAATTCCAGGTCGTCTTCACCGTTGTCTAATTTCTTTTTCTTACATCCCCCTTCTTGTATTTCTGGTGCCTGGACGTCGTCTTTGCTCTCTTCAGAAGATGGGCTAGAAAAGAACACAGGGCACGTTAAAACCAATAATAATGGACGTTTGAGTTTCATCCTGAATGCTGCCCCTTAAATATCTATATTTTGTGTGTGTGTTATCTTCTTACCTTTGAATGACAAAATGTGTCTGAAAGAGAGCCTATCTGAGCCAAGTTGGAGGAAATTAGTGCCACAGCATTGGGGCAGGCCCACCTCATCTATCACCAGGAATATTGTAGTAATCAGGTTCAAGGGTTCATAGACCTGGCCGATGTGAGTCACCTGGGGAGCTTTATACACAGTACAGATTCCTGGGCTCCCACCAGAGTCTCTCCAGTTGATTTGAAGTGGGGTCCAGGACCCTTGCTTTACAATATTTTGCAGGAGGTTCTGATGATCAGACAAACTCAGGGACCACTGGGCCTTAGCAATCACTCCACCTCCAGTCTTGCACGCTTCAATTCCATCCTCCACCCTGCTCCCAGAGGAATCTTTCTTAAAAATGTAATCATATTATTTCCAGGCTCTTTAATGATTCTCTACCTCTAAAATTCTCCAGTGGGATACATGAGATCGCCCATGGTATGGCCTCTAACTACTCCATTTTTCATGGATAACTTTGGATTTTGTAGCTTTATACGGCAACGGTGCTCTGCTCTCTTTTTTATTCATGTTTTGTGGACTGTCAGAGAATTACATGATGTCTCTGTATGGCATCAAATAAGTATTATATGATAGTCAATATTCATTCAACATGGATTCAAGTAATATTTATTGAGTGTCTTTCTGTGTGCCAGGCACCAGAGAGACAGCCCTAGTCAAGATAGACAGCAACACTACTTACAGGAGACTCTATTCTAGCAGAGAGAAAAGGACATCATTCAAACAGCACACAATTAGGATAGGTTTCTCCCCTCACCTCTCCCTAGAATATGCTCTGTTACAAAATGACATTAAATGAAAAAATCTACAGGAAGCCTTTAGTACCAAGTATGGCAAATAGTAAGTACTCATTAAATGTTAGATTTTGTTATTACTGAAATGAGATGACACAAAATGCTCATTTAGTTGACCTTCAAATAAGATGCTTTTTGAAAGGAGGGACAAAAACTACCAGAATATGAAATTTAAATAGTATAAACGGAACACAGTAAAATCTGCTTAGATACCTTACGTATTATAAAATGCAACTAGACAGTTTTATAAGCAAAATAGAGCAAATTACTGAAAATAAATGCTTTGCCACATAGCTATGGCTCTTTACAGTACTGGAAAAAAAAACAATCTATTAAGGGAATCTGTAATATTCTACAATATTTTAGCTAATGGTCACTGAAATAATTGGTTTCATTCTCATTAAAAAAATGTTCTTTGGCAAAAACAGAAACAAACTCACAGACATAGAAAACAAACTTATGGTTCCCAGAGGGGAAAGGTGGGGGGAAGGATAAATTAAGAGTTTGTGAGACAGATACACACTACTATATATAAAATAGATAAGCAACAAGGTATCTACTATGTAGCACAGGGAACTATATTCAACATCTTGTAATAAGCTATAATGGAAAAGAATCTGAAAAAGAATATATATATATAACTGAATCACTTTGCTGTACACCTAAAACTAACACAACATTGTAAATCAGCTATACTTCAATAAAAAATTGAAAAAAAATATGTGGACAAAGTGAGCTTGTTCTAGAAATTCAAGGATGGTTTAATATTGAAAAATCTATTAATGTTAATTCAACACAACAGGAAAACATGATTATCTCAATAGATGCAGAAAAAGCGTTCAATAAAAATCCAGTATCCATGATGATAAAAGCTGTTCATCAACTTGGAATAAAAGAAAACTAACTTAATTCTACCAAAGCCTCACAGGAATCATTATACTCAATGATGAGGAATTGGAAACATTCTTTTAAAAGTCAGGAACAAGAAAATGGACACCCATTCTTACCGCTATTATTCTACCTCGTACTGGAGGCTCAGCAGGCACCATAAAAAATAAAAAGCAGAGGTAGAAGGACTGGGAAACAATTTTAAGTTGCTGTTTATTAAAAAAATGGGTTTTCCTACATAGAAAACACAGGATAATCTACAGACTAACTGTTGCATCTTTTTAAAAAGTCCAGCAAGATTGCATAATACAGTATCAGTACACAGAAACCATTTGTCTCTATATACATCAGAAAGACCCAATTAAAAGCCTATTTTGGGGCTTCCCTGGTGGCGCGGTGGTTGAGAATCTGCCTGCTAATGAAGGGGACGCGGGTTCGAGCCCTGGTCTGGGAGGATCCCACATGCCGTGGAGCAACTAGGCCCGTGAGCCACAACTACTGAGCCTGCGCGTCTGGAGCCTGTGCTCCGCAAAAAGAGAGGCCGCAACAGTGAGAGGCCCGCGCACCACAATGAAGAGTGGCCCCCCGCTCGCTGGAACTAGAGAAAGCCCTCACACAGAAACGAAGACCCAACACAGCAAAAATAAATTAATTAATTAATAAACTCCTACCCCCAACATAAAAAAATAATAAAAATAAAAAAAAATAAAGGAGTACTCCACAAGATGGAATCATTTCAATCAATTAAAAAAAAGCCTATTTTTAAAATCCCATTCTACAAGATACCTAGAAATAAATCTAATAAGAAATGGTGTAAAACCTTTATAGAGAAAAATTATAAAAACTTATTGAAGGACTCAGAAGAAGGTCTAAATAAATAGAGCTATTACAAAGTTCAGCAAGGAAAGAATCAATGTCCTGAAGATGTCAACTTTCCCCTTATTAACGTGTAAACTAAATTCAATTTCAACCAAAATTACACTAGGGATCTGGGAGGAATTTGAATGGCAGATTCTAAAATTCTCACAGAAGAGTAAAAAAGAGTCAAGAATAGCCAAGATAATTTTGAAACACGAAAATGTCTCCTACCAAAGATCAAGATTTATAGAAATTGAAACCAAGTGGAGGTACTCTCATGGAGGAGTCCCGAGAGCCCAGAAATGGGCCCATGAATCACGAGAAGAGGGTATATAATACGGGAGAAGAATAGCACTTTAATCAATAGGGCACAAACAAACAAACCTGTGTGGGAAGTGATTAGCACCCTACCCCACACTGCTGTGAAGTTATTCCAGATAGACAGATATGACACTGGGGTATTGAAAATTTTCATAAACAAGATCAGAAAGTATAAACGTAAGTTTAACTACATTAAGACTTCTAAATTCTATAAAACAAGCACTTATCAAAATTAAACACAAGTCACAGACAGAGAGAAGATACTTGCAAAGCTCATAAGGACTAAAGAATTTGCATCTAGAATATAAAAGAACTATCAATTAGTAAGAAAAAAAAGTACAACTTATTTAAAATAGGTGGAGGTCTTGAATAGAAGAAATCTGAATAGCCAATAAACATATAAGAAGACATTTAAGGGCTTCCCTGGTGGCCCAGTGGTTGAGAGTCCACCTGCCGATGCGGGGGACATGAGTTCGTGCCCCCGTCCGGGAAGATACCACATGCCACGGAGCGGCTGGGCCCGTGAGCCATGGCCGCTGAGCCTGTGCTCCGCAACGGGAGAGGCCACAACAGTGAGAGGCCCGCGTAGCGCAAAAAAAAAAAAAATAAAATAAAAGAAGACATTTAAGATACTGAAACTCACTCATCATTCTAGAAATTCAAATTAAAACATTAGATGTTATTTAACAACCAACTTGATTAGCCAATGTTTTAAGAGATCACATTATCTACTACTGGCAAAGATTAGGAACTCACCTATCCTGCTGATATATAAGTTAAAATTAGTACACTTTAAAAAACAACTGGGCAATGCATATAAAGTTGAAAAGATGTTTACAATTAATATGCAGCAATTGCTGAATACACTACAGAAACTTCCGTACTAGAACAAGGAGATGTGTGCACCACTGTCTGAAAAAAACCCACAGATTGTTGGAGCTGGTGCATATTCTGACTGGTCAGGAATAAAGAATTGCTGCTAAATATTTTGAATATGACCTCTGGGATAAACTGTGATTTATTCATTCGATGGAATTTTACTGCACAGTTAGAATGAATGAACTAGTTCTACGTGTCTTCATATGCATAAATCTCAAAAACATAATATTGAATGAAAAGCAAAGCTGTAGAAAGATATTCATGCTAAAAAACAACAACAACATGAAACTACTCTTGTTTAAGGAGGCATAATTACGTAGTAAATACATTACAATATGGATGGGATCAACATTATACCAAACACACGCTAACTTTAGGATGGTGGACACCATGGAGGATGAAAGGAGGAGTGGGATGGGGGAGAAATACTTAAGGAGCTTCTCCTCTATTGATATTTTATTTCTCATTTAAAAATAAAAGATCCAGGGACATCCCTGGCAGTCCAGTGGTTAAGATTTTGCGCTTCTGCTGCAGGGGGTGTAGCTCTGAAACCTGGTCAGGGGACTAAGATTTTGCGTGCTGTGCGGCACGCCCGAAAAAAAATAATAATGAAGTGAAGTGAAGTGAAATGAAATAAAATAAAATAAGATCCAAAGCAAACATGTGAACTATTGACATTTATTATTAAGCTGCCTATTTATTTTTCTAACATTTATGTACATCTGAAATATTTTATAATTATTATTTTCTCAAGCTTAAGAGATTCTGTTACAAAATATTTAAAGCTTTTGTTGTGTGGAATCAAATCACCTGACTATAGGTGCAATTCTCTTAAAATAAGCAAGAATGAAAAATTCATGCCTGTAAAAATGACCAATTAGGGGCTTATTAATCCCATTAAAGATGTATTCATTACATAATTCACAAAACAGAACATCTTATGATGTAATCAAAATTACTCAATTTATAATAATGTGATTTGCATTTAACTTTTCTAAAATATTCCTACTTTATAAATCAAAGTACACCTGTTAATTTATCTTTCCTGTGTATCTTTTAGAGAGATTTGTCTGAAGATAATTTTAGATGCAAATTAAAGTTGCTAGTTTGAAAAGGCTTTAAGGGAGGCAAGCCTTGTCACAGAATTGTCACAAACAATGGGATGAACATACATCGTCTTCACCCAAAATTCACATCATAATTTATTCTTCAAATCAGTTGTCTGGAATATAAGTGAAACCGTGAACACCTTGGGAAGAGAACTTTTTTAACACAAGTTAACTAGAAAGTACACTCTATTAAGTTACATACAGAGTAGTATTTAGTGGTTATTCAATGTTCTTTCCTGCATTGTGGTAACATACAGCCCTTCACAACAGGAAATGAAAGGTTTTTATTTCTGCTTTTTGGTTTTGCCTTGTTGTTTTTACTCATACTGTACAAGTAAGAAGTAAATAAAACAGGAGGATATTGACAGTGTTTTAAAAGAAAAAAAAAAAGTTACATACAGAGTAGCACTGATGTCTGTGTACCAACGTCCGTCAAAGCCTGTGTGCCTTCCCTCTCTCTCGCCTTCGTTTTCCTCCTCCTGCAGTTTCCTCTGAGCCTCCTCCTTGTCCTTGGCTCGTTTGAGGCAGTAAGCTTTCTCCTGCTCTCTGATTTGTTGTTCAACTGCTGGAAAGTCCTGTAATGCCTGAATCCTTTCTGAACGCTCAATTTCTTTACCATCCAACCACTGGAATAAAAAACAGCCAACACAGTGCATTTATTCAAAAGTCACCATTTGAATCAGCCCCAAGCAAACTTTGCTTGCAAGATGAGAAATAATAAATTATGCACCTTAGTGATATGGAATTAAAAGCAAAGCAATTAACGGGAAACGTCAGAAACTTTGATCTACATCAATGTTTACTTCATACAATTAACACAGTTTACAAAGTATCTTTACTGGTAATAATAAGAAGTAGGTCTCCTGTTGAAACTGATTATTAATGACAAGCTCCCAAAATACAGTAATTTTATAACTGCTCACGATGTAAAGAATTTCAGTGCCTCAAGTCAAGTCCTCAATGCTCTCTACGAAAAAGGGCCTCGTACATCACACAAAATTGAGCTCTATTGCAAATGAGCCCATGTTCTACCCTTGACAAGACATGTAGAGTGTATTATTAATTCTTATGGTCACTGTTTCCATCTGGTACCTCTATAGAGATTGTTCCAAACTGAAATATTAAAAACACCAACCCAAAATCTGAAGGTTCAAAGCTACCAATTTAGAGATGCCTACTTATTTACTGAGCCTTTTTCTACAAAGAGAGGTGAGGTATTTAGAAAAGTGTGGTAGGCAGAATAATGGTCCCCCAAGAATGTCCACTTTCTAATCCCTGTGAATGTTACCTTCCATGGTAAAAATGACTTTGCAGATGAGATTAAGTTAAGGATGTTAAAATGGGAAGATTATCCTGGATTATCTGGGTGGGCCGGATGTAATCACATGGGTCTTTATAAAGGAAAGAAGGCAGCAGAAGTGTCAGGGTCAGAGTTAGAGAGAGGTCTGAAGATGCTACACGGCTGGCCTTAAAGATGGAGGAAGGGGCAGGGACTCAAAAATGCAGGCACCCTCTAGAAGCTGAGAAATGCAGGGAAACAAAATTTCCTCTGAAGCCTGCAAAAGGAGCAGAGTCTTGCCAACACCACAATCTTAGATTCTGAGCTCCAAAACAAAGAGTATATATTCGTGTTGTTTTAAACCACTGAGTTTGTGGTCATTCATTACCACAGCAAAAGGAAACTAACACAAACAAATACAAAACACACGAAGATGGAGTTAAATATGAATTTAAAAAAATTATCAGGAGCAGTTATGGGCTTCCCTGGTGGTGCAGTGGTTAAGAATCCACCTGCCAACGCAGGGGACACAGGTTCAAGCCCTGGTCCTGGAAGATCCCACATGCCGCGGAGCAACTAAGCCTGTGTGCCACAACTACTGAGTCTGCGCTCTAGAGCCCACGAGCCACAACTACTGAAGCCCACGCGCCTACAGCCCGTGCTCCGCAACAAGAGAAGCCACCACAATGAGAAGCACGCACACCACAGCGAAGAGTAGCCTCCACTTGCCGCAGCTAGAGAAAAGCCCGCGTGCAGCAACAAAGACCCAACGCAGCCAAAAAAATAAATAAATAAAATAAATAAATTAAAAAATAATAAAAAATAAAAATTATCAGGAGCAGTTAATTAAAAGTCAAAATTATAATGTCACTATTTGGAAAAAAAATAATTTAAAGTAGGTTTTGGTCATAAGAACTCATATGGCTGCTGTAGATGGGCAGCAGAATTGGCTCTGAGCTTGCTGGCGGCCAAAGCAAAACAGAAAAAAATCATCGGTGAAGCGATTTTTGCTTTCTTTACTGAGAAAATATACTCGTTTCTAGCTTCTCTCTAATACTTAGTTCTAAAACATATTTCTAAAGTAGAGTTTCTTAGTGGAGATCTTGAGAGATGTCACGCATTGTTTCTGTAGCAACATGTCCATACATAACAGTCTTCACAAAGCTGTCTCTTCTAAGATCCTTCAGTGAAAGGTGAGGCCATAATGATAAAATCGAATTCAATAAAACCTATTATTTAAGGTGATAAGTAATTGTGGTCTAAGTACTTAGCCTTTTTTTTTATTTTTGGTAATTAACCTCCTTTAAGCTAGGGTTAAGATCTAAGCAATTCTGGGCCTGTGGTTAAGACTCTGAACTTCCACAGCAGGGGGCGCAGGTTCGATCCCTGGTCAAGGAACTAAGATCCCACATGCCCCACAGAGCGGCCAAAAAAAAAAAAAAAAAAAAAAAAGATCTAAACAATTTGGAAAATTCTGGATAAATATAATTTCTTTCACTGGAATTTTGATGAACATTGCAAAGAAGGTGATATATTCTCTTACCTGTATCTGGGATGTAAGGATTTAAGTATTAACTTTATATATATACATATATAGTATTATATATAACATATATATATATTTCCTTATACTTGGGTTAAATAAACATTGATATAATTTAGACCTACTGTTTCTAAAAGATTATGACCAATAAACCCCTTGTCACCAATACAGGCAGGAAGCAGATGACCTCATACTGGGAACTGATGACAAATTTGAGATGGTGTCACATGTATGCCAGCACCTGTTCTCGGGGCCTTCTTGTTGGATCTCAGGTTTTTGAAGACTTTTGTTAGGTAGTTTTCAAAATTGGCCTAAGTTTTCTTCAGTCCAAAATCACAGCTGAATTCAGAAGCCCTGATGAACTGAGAGATTAAGTTTTAGGCTATGCATTGCAGTATTCCTTGATCTTTATTCACTTAGAGTTCTTGCAACACAGAGGCAGACCGTCTACGTTTCCTGATAATAATTGCGCGTGTGCTTCAGCAAAGAAGAGAAAGAGAAACTAAGATTTATTGAGGGTCTCAAAGAACTTCTTTAAAGTAGGAATTATTAACCCATTATAGATGAGAAAAATGAGGCATGCAACTCACCGGTAGCAGAGACATGAGTCCTATCCTGGTTTGTCTGCTACAAAACTTTTCCCACTAGGCTACAGTGCCCACTTACCACCTGGAGTGGCTCAGACACTAGGAGGAGGATACTTGAAAAGGGCTGAATCTCCTCACACCTCTTGTGCATGTCTGTCTAAATAACTACTCTGTTGTTATGACTTAAATTGTGTTTCCCCCCAAAAAAGTTATGTTGAAGTCCTGACCCCCAGTACCTCAGAATGTGACCTTATTTGGAAGTAGGGTCCCTGCAGATGTAATCAGTTAAGATGAGATTATTCTGCAGTAGCGTGGGCCCCTAATCCAACATGACTGGTCTCCTTAAAAAAAGATGGGAGTGACGCTTCCACAAGCCAAGGAAAGTCAAAGCTTGCCAGGACCCACCAGAAGCTGTGAGAAAGGCATGGAACAGATGCTGCCTCACAGACTCAGAAGCAACCAGCCCACACCTTGACCTAGAACTTCTAGTGTCCAGAACAATGAGATAAATTCCTGATGTTCAAGCCACCCCGTTTGCGGAACTTTGTTATGGCAGCCCTAGGAAAATAATACATCTGTTAATGCAACTCCTGTCAAGTAGATCACAAACTTTCAATGGAATGGTAACTAAGACTCTAAAATGTATCAAGCTGTTTTTAAATACTAATAAACACATTTATGAATACCATATTTCAAAGGGAGGCTGTTGCCTGTTGTAACAGCTTATTCAGAACAGTCTTTCTGAAAGGAAAGACTGGGCCTGAAGCCTGTACATTAACCCAGACAGAAGCAGTGAGTGTGGTTATGGTGTGAATGGTGGGCTATTAGGTTCAAATCCCACCAGGGTCACTTGCCAGGTGTGTCACCTTAAACAAGGAGCATCAGCTTTCCAAGGCCTGGCTCCCTCATCTCAGAATGCACCTAATCATCTCCCTGCAAGAGGCCGGGAGTATCAGAGATGCTGTGTCCAAAGCACCTGGAACAACCCTGGCCCATGCTTCAGGCACCTGTCTGATGGCTCTCACATACCCCTAGCTCAGGCACTGCAGAGTTGACAGGGGGCCCAGCTGTGATGACAGTCCCTGCACCCTTCCAGGGAGATGGTTCACAGCATCCATTTTCTCTGAAATTCTGGTTCTCATCAGTTCATTTTTTTAGGAAGTCATTGTACAATGATGATCAGCCTGGGTTATGTTTGATCTACTTCATCACTCATTCTACATATATATTCTAGATTCAATTACCTGAATCACTCCTTCTCTTAATCAAAGAAACTTTACATTAGAAGAAATGTGTTCTACCAGTCCAGCAATTTTGACTACACAGAACACAGTAGTCTAAAAACAAATGTCCTCTGAGGATAGAGGAAAAGGACTGTTAGAAAGCCAGAGCCTCCATGCATTCTCTCTGCAGAAGCAAAATGCTGTCCCTGCTGCTGGAGGGACACCAAAAGGACGTGACCACTGGATGGCCTGCAACTGGACCTGGCCAATCACAGGCTCCTCACCCTCTCCCCTGTCCTTGGAATGTACCTTCTGCCTGCTGCTCCCACACTAGGAGCGGTTCCAAGGGTGCAGCCTTGAGACAGTAAGGCTCTGTTGAGACCCTCTGGACGGTGTACGTGACTGAACCCAGTTAAGGCCTCTCTATAAACCTGTAAGATTATGGCAGGCAGGCGCAGAGATCTACTCATCCTGTTGCCCAAAACAAGCTTGGTAAGTAGGTTTCCTTGCTTATTAAACCTGCCACCTACCCATCTGGAGTCCTGCCTCTTTCTTTGGTCTCTCCTTGCCCTCCGTGCATGGGGGCCAGTTTCAGATTTCACCTGGGAAGCTCCCAAGGTTTCAAACCAATACATGCAGGTCAGGAACTCTTGGAATCACATGGACATTAATATTACTACTTAAATATTCTCAGGTGTATGATTTCTCTAGAAACCATGTGTTGTTTCCCAGTACCAAAAGTATTGAATATGGGGAGATTTGGCATAAGAAATTAACACACAGAGCAGTGGTTCTCAAATGAGGTCCCTGGACCGGTAGCATCAGCATCACCTGAAAGCCCGTTAGAAATACAAATTCTTGGGCGGCCATCAGACCTACTGAATCAGAAACTCTGGGGGAGGGGCCCAGCGAACCCCATCTAAGTACTCCAAAGCATACCAGAGTTTGAGAATTACTAACATAGCAAATGAGTTAATAGAAAGCAATAGTAAGAAATAATACTTTAAAAAGCACAGTAGTTTAAGACTGTGAAATACAAAGGTATATAGCTGTCACCACCTGAAAAGCCCTAAACTTTTGGTTTGCTACTAGTAATAAGGAACGCTCTTTGTAACAATGACTTGAACTCACCAAGAAAGTTCAATTAAACTGTGCGTGTTCTGAATGAGAAAGGAGAAAAGCATGCAATTTATTTTTCAAAGGTTTATTAAAGCTATAATATTAAAACAACTTTAAAGGTTCAGTGAGCCAAAGACTCGGTTTTGATTTTCTGGAATAGTCCATCCTCTAAAACAACACATTCTCTGAAAATGCTGTGAATAAATCAGGAATCACTGTAGTTGCTTGTTTTCATTTTTCTGGGAATTTTGTATCACTGAAAAAAAAAGCATACCTTTAGTTGTTGCAGAGTTGCCACCATGAACTGTCTGTAGCCGTCAAAGTCAGCGCAGGGGTTTCCCATGAGGAAGAGCTCCTTCAGGTGGATGTTGTGTTGAAGGGTTTTCACACTGCTCAGCTCGCCAATGAAATTTACCGTCAAGTCAAGCTTTGTCAGCCCTTCACATCCTGCTGAGAGAAAAGAAAAGGAAAAAAAGCCAGAAAAATCACACAGGCAGTAAAATGTGTACAATAACACATCATAGAAATAACAGTTGCAATATTTTAAGTCTGTTGATTAACTGCACTGCTTACCAAGAAGTGGTTTTTCAGAAACCTCAAAAAGGCTTAGTCGTGACTCACTTTTCTATCTGTGTCTCCCCTTACTTTCTTTCTTTTTTATTTATTTATTTATTTATTTTTGCGGTACACGGGTCTCTCACTGTTTTGGCCTCTCCCATTGCGGATCACAAGCTCCGGACGTGCAGGCTCAGTGGCCATGGCTCACGGGCCCAGCCGCTCCGCGGCATGCGGGATCCTCCCGGACCGGGGCACGAACCCGCGTCCCCTGCATCAGCAGGCGGACTCTCAACCACTGCACCACCAGGGAAGCCCTCCCCTTACTTTCAACCCCTTAGTCCCTCCAGCCAAAGGAAATCATTTTCCTGCCCGTATCCATAAGCTCTGGGCTGTTCACATTTAGATTTGGTCACTATCTGGCGTGACTGCATTATGTTGACAAATCTAATGGAGCCTCTTCAATGCACCATGTCACTAGAAGAGTCTGCTGCATGTGGCACAATCGACCATGGACTGTCTCTTAAATCTCTCAACTGTCTTGAAACTCTGATGCTACTCTTTCCTTGTCCTCCTTTGCAATGAAGTCTATTCCTCTTGATCTCTTTTGCAGGCTTTTCCACCCCATCAATGTGATGGAGATTTCCATCCTTGACCCAATATTTCCTTTCCTTATGGTCTTGATGACAGTAGTCATGCCCACTGGTTTCACTAACCCCAGATTCTGATGACTCCCAAACAATAACCCCATGTCTGACCATCCAACTGAACATCACACTCCTGTTTCTACATGCCCGCAAGACATATCACATTCAACATGTCCAAACTGAAGTCTCCATATTTTCTCTCACTCTGTACTCCTCAAGACAGCTTTTCTGCCTTCTTTACGTCTAAACTCTATCAACGTCATCACCATTTTGGTATCAGGTGTGATTCAACACCAAGAGTCAAGTCAGGGTTAACTAGGAAGTTAACCTAAACTATCCTCTTAGCCCCTTCATGTCATCAGTCATCAAGCCATGCAGATCTTAAGTCCTAACTTCTTTTTACGTACTTCTTGTCCACTATAATCCTATTACCAATATTCCAGTTCAGGTTCCTGTCACCTTTTGCATGCAATATGGTGTATCTCCTAACTCGTCTCCCTATTTTGAGAACATAGGAAAGAAGGAAGGAAGGAAAGAAAGACAGACAAAAGGAAGGGAGAGAGGGAGAAAAGGTTTGTCAAGGTGGCTGCTCCTCTTCCCCGCTCTTTCCTTTCCCTTCCCTTTCCTTCTCTTCCCTTCCTTTCAGAACAACTAATTCCTAAAGCCATCAGGGGAGGCAGAGTAAAGAAAGAGTAGAGAGGCGAGCGATAGCTATGTTGGTCCAGAGCAGAGTGGTGGAACCCAAACAGGATGAAGATGGTGTGCAGAGGGCTGCCCTGTGCTGGAAGCCGGGGCCCCAGCAGTGAGGGGCATCCCGGGTGCAGGTGGTCTGGCACGAGGGCAGGAGCCCAAGCCCAGTGAGGAAGGCATCCCTGCAGAGAGGGATGGTGGGTAGGAACCTGGGCAGGATGAAAAGAGCATCCACACCAAAGACAGCCAGCCATGGGGTGTCAGTGCAGACAGGATGGTACCAACAAGGAAGGGCAGCCTGACATGAGGAATCAGAGCCCAAGGAAGGTAGGGAGGGTGTCCTCACATGACACCCAGCAAGAGGCATCGGAGACCAAGTAGAGTGAAGAGGGGTCCACAGGGGAGCAGCGCCATGAGCAAGGTGTCAGAGCTCGAGGAGGGCGAGGTGGATACCCTAACGAGGGCTAGCGTGGAGACTGGGAGCATAAGCCAGGGGAAGAAGGCGCCCGCGGAGGGGCCCACCTAGGGTTGGGCACGGAGATCAAGCAGGGCAAGGAGCCTGAGCCATGGACGGGCCACGCGGAGTAGGTGTCAGAGCTCAAGCTGGCTGAGAAGGCAGTAAAGAAGCCTAATGCCCTAGGTCAGAGAGGAACATCCCAGCCAAACTCTTGCTGAGTTCCTCATCCACAAAACTGGGTGGCGAAAGAAAGCTGTTTCAAGGCACTAAGTCCTGGGGTGTTTTTTTTTTCTCACTGCAATAGATAACTGGAACTGTGAGGCAAATAAGCTAAGAAATGAACAAAGGTCAACAAAGCTACAAAGTGGGGACGGGAACCGAATCCCAGGTCTGCCCAGCTGAAAAGCCTCTCTGAACCTGTCCACTAGAAGTTCTCTTTGCCGACGTCAGCTGTCTATTACTAATGTATCATCATGACCGTGACCATGACCATCACCGCAAAACTCTCAAGCCAAAGCTCTGTGGGACACAGTGTTGGGTCTCTAAGCACAAGCGGTTGTAGTCATACCCGTGTGAGGGGTGAGCTGAGGCCTGCAATTCCTACATGGATGGAGAGAGCCAGACCAGTCATCCTCTGGTGGGAGGAGAAAGGGGGAGCAAGAAAGGCCAGAGGTTAGATGTGGGTCAGTAGGCACGTGAGCGTGACCACTCCCCCCAGCAAAGTGTTCATTCAAAACACCAGTCACCCATAGATGGGCCCATATCCCGTGTCTCATTACGATATTCCGTTATGTGACACGAAAACATAAGCAAGGCGGATAGACAGGGATAAAGAACCTAGGGGGCAGCGAGTGAGAACAAAATCTGCACCTGCCACGTAGGAGGTCAACAGACGATGCCTAAAATGAGAAAGAGTAGAGGACGCCCGGTGTAAGCAGGTTACTTGGAAACATGCAGCAGAAGAACGAAGGGGAGTGGATGGTGGTCGCCTCTAGGGGGCAGGACTGGGCGGTCTGGCGGCATTGACAAGAGGTCTGTTCTTCAACACGAGTATAGATATCACTTTGACTTTTGAGACTGTCTATTGCGTTACTATGGTAAAATATGAATTATTGAAAAGCCGAATAACCAAAATGCACAATAACAAATAAATACTTTTATAATATTCCAGACTCAGCTACACAGGTGAAGGAAATTCAGTAACTTCATATCTTCAAAAATAAATTTTAAATATGTTGGAAAGGTTATGAGATTATAAATATTTTTTCAGCATTCAATTTGTCAATACACAAAATAGGCTCTTAAGTTTGTTTTTTTTTTCTCTTGATCCAGAATTTCATTGGGGAGGAAAAGGTCCCAATCAAATACCTCAACTGGAAACAGGTAATTTGTACAAAGCTGTTCAGAACAGTTCTATTCACAAGACCAAACATAATTAAAAACACTTCAAGCACCAAAAATAAGGAGTTATTTAAAGCACATCAACATATTTGATAATTCAGTCATTAAAGCATAGTGATGTGAATGAACTAAGCCACTATATGAAGAATGAATATGAAACTAGACATACAAATATAATTAAGTTTATATCTCTGTGCCTGTATGTCTGTTTTACATTGGCCAAAAAAAAATGTTAGATGGATTTTATGAAGTGTAAAGATATATTTGGGGTAGTCTGACTTAAGATACAGGTTACCTGGTATTTCTCAAGTTGACTTTGGGAGGCTCTGAGAGATATTTTAATTATGTTTTTCTTCCATATGAGAAAAGACTGACATTTGAAAGACTCCACCAAGCTCAAAAATTCATATACTTTATGGATTTTGCTGTAATTTTGTAGATGCAGAACCCTCCAAATGTTCATTACATTTTTCAAAGTGATGAATCTTAATTTTTCTTCTACTAGGCCTACACATAAGAAATTAAACCACATCTGCCATTTGAAAGAACAATTCTTGCTGAACTAGACAGGCTTGAGAAAATCTCCCTCCTTCAACTGAGTCCCACCCTTCAGCCCCTGTTCTGTGAAGATCGAGCTCAGTGGCCCACGGGGGTCTAAAGGTCACTGAAACCAACAAGCTGATTTCCCAAGAGGGAGAGTTGACACTAATAGAAACCCCATCTCTCCTTCCAGGTTTTAAGGGTGGGAGAGGAGGGGTGGGATGGAAAAAATCTTGGTGAACCCACAACAAGGAAAAAAGAAAAAGAAGGATACAGTTATGTTTTGCCATGCAGCAAAACAAACAAAGAAAAATCCAACTTACGTTGTAAATTATACTGAGATTTACTCAAGTATGTGAGCTGAGTATATATATATCCAACTTCCTCCTCTCTTCCTCAAACATTTAAAATTAAACAACAAGTGCATATTTGCCAAAAGATAAGACACCCATCCCTCCCTACTGCCCATCTCCCCAAACATATCCTCAGACGACCCTGAGCCCGGTGCATCCGTATTAGAGCTGGAAGGCAGAGGACCCAAAGGAAGAAGTGTCCACTGTGGACCAAGTTCTCAAAGCTCAAAAAGACAATAGTGACAATACTGCCCTCTAGTGGTTGGTGGCCGACACATACCGCAAAAACAGAACTCTCCACATCCTTTCAGATACTACTTTCTTAATGAAACTAACAAGCCAACTGAGAATGAGAGTTTTAATTATTTCTCTGACATTATAGATAGACCTTTCACTACTAAAAAACAAAGATATAGAGCAATATTTTTAAGTTTTTTTTTTGTCTGCGTTGGGTCTTCCCTGCAGTGCGCAGGCTTCTCTTTGCAGTGGCTTCTCTTGTTGCCGAGCACGGGCTCTAGGCACGTGGGCTTCAGTAGTTGTGGCATGTGGGCTCAGTAGTTGTGGCGCGCAGGCTCTAGAGCACAGGCTCAGTAGTTGCGGCACACGGGCTTAGTTGCTCCGAGGCATCTGGGATCTTCCCAGACCAGGGCTCGAACCCGTGTCCCCAGCATTGGCGGGCGGGCGGATTCTTAACCACTGTGCCACCAGGGAAGCGCTAGCGCAAATTTTGTTATTTCATTTGTTCACATGTGGATATGGTAACAGGGTGGAGAGTGGTAGCTGGGAAAGAGCAAAGGCTCCATTTCTAATGCAGAAAAATGCCAATAATGGAAAGAACCGTCTCAGTTCCAGCACTGATGACGGTTTGGGGGCTTTGACAGTCATGACATTTCAGGTTTTGAGGATGAACATTAAAAATGTATGATGAATATTTATGTCTTTATTGATATATGACCTTGATGGCCCCTGAAATACCGATGTCTACACTAGGAGACAAATAGGCTAAAATCCAACAGGACTTAAATAATGTCCTCCTAATTTTAGCTCTTGGAAGATGGGAGTGGGGTGGGGAGAGGAGCTTGCCTGCCTCTGCCCCAAGCCCCTGCCCACCCACACAGAGCCCACAGTGGCCCTGCCAGCCAGGCCAGAGGCTGGATGTGGAAACACCACCTCACAACTGCAGAATAAGCCCACACAGCCACCTAATCAACCAATTTCTTTGTGGTTATCAACAGACACCAAGTGTTATTAGACATTTCGAAAAAAAATAACAGCACAAAATAGAAGGCTGCAAAGTAAAATAGGAAACCTCCCAGAATAACAAGACAAAGAGGTTTTAATCGCGGTGATGGTTTCACATGTGTGTGCATATGTCCAAACTCAACAAATTATATATATTCAATATGTGCAGGCTTTTGTACATCAATTATACCTCAATAAAGCTGTTTAAGAAAAAAGAACAATTGTGCTCTAAAGGACACCAACAAGGAAGTTGACAAGAAAACCCACAAAACGGGAGGATATATCTACAAATCATTTAACTGATCGGATTCTAGCGTTCAAAATAAATATGTCTAACAGTTTAGCAGTCAAACAACAAATAACCTAGTTAGAAAATGGGCAAAGATTTTGAATAAAGAAGATTTCTCCAAAGAAGATATACAAATGGCCAATAAGCACATAAAAAAATGCCCAAACTTATTAGTCATTAGGCAAATGCAAATCAGGACCACAATGATATACCACTTCACACTCACTATAGGATGGCTACTATAAAGATAAATAAATACATGAAAACTGAAAATGACAAGCGTTGGCAAGGATGTGGAGAAACGGGAGCCCTCATAAACTGCTGGTGGGAATGCAAACTGGTGCCGCTGCCAAAGCAGTTCCTGAAAACAGTGAAACGTACAGTTATCACAGGACCCATCAATTCCAGTTATCATATGACCCATCAATTCCGTACCTAGGTACACTAAGTTAACTGAAAACAGATGTCTATGCAAAAACTTGTACATTAATGTTCATAGCAGCTTTATTCATAGTAACCAAAAAGTGGACTCAACTCAAATACCCATCAACTAATAAATGAATAAACAAAATGAGGTGTATCCATATGATGGAATATTATTCAGCCCTAAAAAGGATTAAGTACTGATGCATCCTACAACATGGATGAACCCTGAACACATTAGACTAAGAAGTCAGAACAGGGGCTTCCCTGGTGGCACAGTGGTTGAGAGTCCGCCTGCCGATGCAGGGGACACGGGTTTGTGCCCCGGCGCGGGAAGATCCCACATGCCGCGGAGCGGCTAGGCCCGTGAGCCATGGCCGCTGAGCCTGCGCTCCGCAACGGGAGAGGCCACAACAGTGAGAGGCCCACGTATTGTTAAAAAAAAAAAAAAGAAGTCAGAACAGACGACCATGTATTGTTTGATTCCATCTATATTACATGTTCAGAATGGGAAAATCTATGGAGACAGAAGTAGATTAGGGGTTGTTAGGGGCTAGGGTAGGAGGTGAATGGGGAATGAATGCTAATGGATATGGGGGTTTCTTTTAAGGTGATGAAAATGTTCTGGAATTAAATAGTGATGATGAATGCACAACCTTGCAAATATACTAAAAACCTGTGAATCGTGTATTTTAAAATGGTGTATGTAAGTTTATAATATGTAAATTATATTTCAATTTTCAAAATACTAAATTGTCCAAATATTTCCATTCAGGAACATTTACATGTTAAATTTGAAGCACATTAGAGAGATTAAATGTAAAGAATAAAATTATTAAAATTAGAACTTATATGGACTATATTTGTATCCAGAAACCATAAAGAATCCATAAAGAAAAAGATTGATAAACTGGAGTATATTCATTTCAGAAGTAAGACTTCTGAACAATACCAGCATCATGACTGAAATAAAAGAAGTACACTCAAGAGAAAAGATTTATAACATATATAACAAGGTATTAGTATCTGGAGTGCATAAGAGCACATGAAGAAAAATGAGTAGAAAAATGGCCAAAAGATATGAAGTAGTTATTCATGTAAGAAAAAATATAAATATTCAATAAACATCTGAAAGGTTATATGGAAGATCAGTAATAATAAGTGAGGAGCAAATTTTAAAAATTACTAGAGAACAATGTCTTCTAATCTTTAGAAAAAGATTGCTTATAAAAAGCGCTAGTGAAGTTGGGGGAAAATAGGTATTCACGTGGACCATAGGTACAAGTATATATCAATACAACCTCTTCGGAGAACAAATTGGCAATATTTTCCAAAATATGCGTATTTTAACCCAGGAATTCCATTGCTAAGTATCTCTCCTAGAAAAATATTTACACATGTACACAGAGTGAAACGTATTAGGATGCTCATTGCAGCCATGCTTATTATAGCAAAATGTAGAAACCACCCAATTGTCCATCTGCAGAACAATAGTTGGATAACTCAGTCTACAATCATTCCATTAGACAGCCTTCCCCGTCCTTCCTGGATCAGAAGAACAAGGTAATTTTATGGAAGAAATTCATTTTGAAAACAATATTCATAGTATGATCCCACTGATACAAAGCAAAATGTAACAAAACCACCTTCTATACACCAAAGCGTTAATACCACTGCCTCTGGGAAGGAAACTGGGTTAGGAAGGGGTGAAGTAGACTTACATTTTTGAATTTGTGTATCTTGTTATCGTTTGACTTTTTACAACAAGAATTGACAAACACAAGACTTATGTAAAATGTTAATTTGAAAAGTCTACCTATTGTTTAAGCAATACTGTTGAAGCCTAAGTTTAATTAACAATAAATTATATGAAGAAAACCCTTACCTTCCAAATTTTCAATTTTTTCAATGTTGTTTAAAGCTAAATTCAAATATTCAAGTTTCTTGAGTTTGCTAACATTTTCTGAAATACACAAAGAATGGAATTAATTAACCTTCAAGATAAAAGACATTTTTATGTAATCTATTATGAAAATGGTAATGAGAATCTAAGGATCATTATGGTTGTCAAAACCATGTTGCTTTTTCAAATCTGTACCTCAGAAAGTAGGTAGATTAGGGGTTGTACTTCAGACATTGTTGGTTGCCCACGCAGCATCCATTTCTCCCTCTGTCCTTCCTAATGGAACCAGCCCATTTCTGCTCATGTCTCTACCCAGTTCCAACTCCAGGGGGGTTAGGCTTAACCAAGCTGGCCCAGCACATGGCAATCCCATGTCCCTGGCTAGTGACAGCTCAGGAGCCCAGGCTTAAGTCAACCAGCCTGTGGCAGTCTCCTGGCAATTGTGTGATGCAGGAGAAGGCGTGCACACCAAGTACTCCCAATCAGATGAGGAGGAATGATCTGTATTTCATGCTTGCGGATTTCCTGTCTCTTTCTCCTACTGGATGTTAAAAAGGAAGGAAATACTATCTTTACTGGTGCTCATAGTCATCTTGCAAACCTGAGGAAACCAGCTGTAGGATGAAGCCCACTGTGACTGGTGGGGCAGAGAGAAGGAACCAACCAACCCTGGAGACTGGCCTATCTCTAGACTTATAGTTGGGTTAGATGCTAGATTTCCTCACTGCTAAGCCATCCTGAGTTGTGTTTTCCTTTACGTGAAGCCAAAATCATCCTGATACAGGATTATTGTTTCTAATAAATATGAAAGGCCATATAGGCAAGGCAAAAGCATAAATAAGTCAAGGAATCGCTGAAGGGTGGGGCCCTTTAAAAACAGTAAATGATACCATAGCTTACATTACTGAGTGCTTATTACATGCCATACAATTTTCTAAGCATTCTGCGTATTATATCATTTAATCTTCATAACAATCCTATGAGGTTAAAACTACCGTCGCCTCCCTTATGCAAATGAGAATACCAAGGTGCAGAGAATAAATCCACTTGCTCAAGGTTAAGTGGTAGAGCCAGGAAATCTGACTCCAGAGCTTGGCACTAAATCACTACACTACACTTTAAAAGGAGAGTCCTTTCTAAGATGACATGAATGTAGAAAACCCTGCTAAGAAATGTGCATTTGGGGCAGGCTGACTTAAATAATGCTTCCTCCGGACCATTTTTCAGGGATATTATGACGGTCAAACATGATGATTTATAACCGTCACCCTTATCACTACTAATATTTCAACTAAAATTTATAAAATATCATGTATTTCTTTCCATAGAATTCCTGAGAATAACAGTTTACCTCTCCGAGCCTCAGTTTACTCATTTTTTAAATGAGGATTGTGGAATAAATTACTAAAGTTTCTCTCAGCAATGTTATTCTAAGTAATACTGATGTTTACAAGAGTTCCTCTAGGCAATATCTGAGCATCTGACAGTCATAGACTTGTAGAGCTCCATGTGCCCAAGATTATAATACAGTGTCTAGTACATATCCTGAACAAATATACATAAAGTTATTATTGTTAAAATTGCTAGCCCATGATAAAATACCTTTCCTTCTCCACTTTCGTTTTATGTATAACGCTGTAAATGCGAAAAGAGTCATCTGGTAGAAAAAAAGTTAAGATTTGTTTTGTAAGCGTTTCCTAAATTAAATTAAATTAAATCGAGAACAATGGGTCAAACTGGTCAGGAAAAAACAAAGCTCTATAAGTAAAAATATGCAGAGCTTCTTGGGCAGCAGGAAGGGAGTCTGCATTCTCGGCCAAACCAGCCTGGGAGGAGTTCTCACCAACTTCTATAACCAGACCTACAAACTTGTCCTGGACCAAACCCATCCCCCAGTTCAAGCCGCTCTAAGGCGTTCAGCTTGGGGCTCATCGGGAAGCTGTAACCAATGCAGATTCCGGGAGCCCACCCCCGGAGGCTCTGAGCCAGTAAGTCTGGGGTGAGGCCCAAGCCCCATTTTCACAGACCCCGGACAGTCCTCAGCTGACACCTGGAGCCCCACTAAACAAAGCCTGGCTCCACAGCCCACCTGGATCTCCCAGTGAGGAACACAGCTTCAGGAAAGGCAGGTGTTTTGCAAACTTCTACCTCCGTGGCCCAAGAGCGAGTCTGAATCCTAGAGAAACAGTTTTACTTGCTAAAAAAGTGCCTAAATGCCTATGGGTGGAGTAGCACTGAAAAATCCCATTATTAGGATTTAAAAGCGTGTTTAATTTAAGAATACTTTGGAAGCAAAAATTTAAGCTTTCTCACAGCTCTGAAAAGGACTGAAATACTATGCTACTAATTAGTAATTGTGATGGACCCAGCTGTGGAGATGAAAATTTCAGGCACTCTTTTAGAGCTGCACAATTAGGACAACTCTTTAATGCTCTCATGCATAAAAGCTAGTGGTTTTCTATAACAGCCTTTTTAATTGAACAATGCGCCAGAGTTTCTAATTTCTGGTAAAGTACAAGATGCCAAAAATAATTATCTGAAGGAAAAGAAAGAATTTTAATAAACCTTGAAAAATGATGCAAATTCCAGACTTTTTGTATCCCTAGAGCCAATTTTCAATTACCCACTAAGCTGGAGGCAACTACATCAGCAGAGTTTCTCAGCCTCAGCAATACTATCATTCGGGGCCAGGTAATTCTTTCTTGGAGGGGGCGGGGGAGAGGCCCTGGGACTGTTAGCATGTTCCTGGCCTCTGCACACTAACTGCCAGTAGCTGACCCCTTACACACACACACACACACACACACACACACACACACACACACACACACACACACACACACA